AGCTCTAAAATAACCAATCGTATAGAGTTCATATTATGATTACTTTAGAACTTGTAATTGTCAAATGACTGACTCTGAAGGGGGCTATAATTATATAATAAGTTACAGTTCCCTTAATATACTAAAATTATTTAATTAAAATATTAAAATAGTTTTAAATAGTTACAATATATTTATATAAAAATATATTAGTATTTTATTAAATAATATAATTTATAATCTATAAAAATAAATCAATATATTAACTAAATACTATTTATTATTTTATAAAAATAATTTAAATTTTTAACTAGTTAATATACTAAAATTATTTAATTAAAAATATTAAAATAGTTACTATATATTTATATAAAAATATATTAGTAGTTTATTAAATAATAAAATTTATAATTCTATAAAATAAATTAATATATTAACTAAATACTATTTATTTATCATATAGGTCTTATATAACAACCTATGCTTTTTTTGAAAGCTTATTTACACGGATATTTATGAAAATTACATGATTTTCATATATACACATGCGAATGAGTTTGTTAAAACATATATAAATAATAAACTGTAATTAAGCAAAATAAATTTTAATTAAACAAATAATTGTAATTAAGCAAAATAAATTGTAATTAGTGAAATAAATTGTAATTAAATGAAATGTTATTTATTTGTAAATAGCTTCCAATTTAAATTACATTGAAGAGTTTTATTATAAAAAAAAATTCATTACGAATAAAAAAAATGTCAATTTCGATCGTTTTGAGGAAAGATCTTCAAATTAATATCCAAATACTTCTCAGTGTCAGGAATCTGAATTATTATATTGTTTGTAATTAGAAGTAATACTATTTGTTCTTTATTAATAGTTGGTTGTGGCACTTTTTTATCTTCATGATGTTTAATTATATGCTTGTAATAGTGATCAGGTTTTGCTTGTGATGCCTTATTAGTTCTTGCTTGCGATGTTTGGCCTTGGTGATCTTGTGATGCTTGGTCTTGATGGTGGTGCTGAGCTTGCGATACTTGGTCTTGGTAATCCTGTAATGCTTGGTCTTGATAATAGTGCTAAGCTTGCAATGATTGACAATTATGTTTAATTTTATGATGTAAGACTTAATTTATAAGGTATTTTTATACCAGAGGGCAACATGTTCATAAATAATGTATGTACTGGACGTATT